TCAGCAGGATCAGATGGTTTCTTGTTTTCGGATGCAAGGAGCTCCTCAAAGCTGTTATTTGTGTGTGCAGTTGTAACACTGAGCCCTCCATGCCTTCCAGGGTCCTCAGTATGCACCACATCCACAGTGCTGCTATTTCGATCCCCTCTCTCATTTGTAATTTCACAATCGCTCTCTGAGGTTTCATCGTGGTCTTTCAGGGCCTCCGTTTCAGCTGTTTGTTCATTCTCCAAGTGTGAGGGATCTGTGGGGTCAGATGACTCGGGGCGGGAAAGCGGGAACTCTGTCTTGGATGAACCATTGAGCTCTGTTCCAACCTCTGTGTTCTGCTCCCCTGCAGAAGCGCCTGCTCTTTTCTCTTCCAGTTCTGCAGCTGTCTGCTCTGTCAGTTTAATTATCTGACTTCCAAGCTTGTTTATTTCTTCTTCCTCGGAAGGTAGCTGGGGTAATGAAGGATAAAAATGTTTATTTTGGTTTCTGTTATTTAAGTTTGTTCCCTCTGGAGCCAGGGACTCGCTTGCAACAGCACAGGTTTCATCACGATCTCCCTTCTGTTCTGCTGAAAGAGAAATGGAACAGCGAGATGCTCCAGTCAGTCATGGGTATTTATTGTATATTTGACCTGAAGACCATCACTACCAGAGTTTACTTCAGTAATGAAATTCCAAGAGTGATTCCTGATCCCATCAGGCCCATTTCTGAGATGATAAGCAACCAATGCTGAGTTTCTTGCTGAATCTCACCCTGTTTTGGAGCCTGTCTTTCCTCAACACAGACAACTCTAACAGTTGCAGAACAGCAGGATCAGGCAAACTTTTCCAAAGGAGTATCAGCTCTAAGTAAGGCACTCAGCTACAGAAATTTTTGGCACAGCGTAATCTTAATCCCCACATCACTACCACTTTCAGGGGTGAACTTTAGCTCCATTTATTTGGAGCTTTTCACAGGCTTTCATCCAATAATGAAGTTTCGTTATTGGTCCTGCAACATTTCTCCTAACATAAAAGATTATTCTAATTTGGGTAACAGCATAGAACAAAGCAGCAGTGGAAGAATTTTAAATATACCATTATACCAAAAGGCAAACACTGAACAAAGTGTCAGAATAGAGAAAACAGCAATGAGTAAAGAAACAGCTTCGTGAGAGAGAATTTATCCTCATCTCAGTTAAGGACAAAAAGCCTCACTGAAAATAAGCTTGCCAAGTCAAGTAAGAAAAATTAGGAAATGCCAGAAGTACGGCTGCATTGACAGCTTAAAACAACTCTTGTCATGCATATGCATTACCTTTTAGTATATGAGCATTTACTCTGTTTCTCCCACAGGAATCCTGCCTCACACAGCACACAGGACAGCCCGGCTGCAGGGAGGGATCAGAGCAACACAGCACAGGAGCCTACTGCCTGTCAGATCTGCCTCATTTATCATCTGGGGGCTGCAGAGTGAGACAAGGGTTGGCATGAAGGGAACGGACATTCTTACTGCCAATAAGGAATGCTACTGCGAAGAGCTGCAATTTAAGCCTGTGGAAAAGGCAGGGATAAATTAACTTTCAAAAGGTGATTACCCACTGGATCTAATCCTCATTATCTGAGCACTCAGCTGGAAATCTAGGAGCATGATTTGCAGAGCTGCTCTCTGCTCGTGCTGTGTATCTGAGCACACGCACTTGAAGTGCTCCAAAAAAAAGAGCCAAAACTTATGTACCTCAAAATTGGCACTTGAAATTAGCAGGGACTCAAACTTATTCTGTGTGTGTCTCAGTTTCCTCCCTCTACAGTGGGATAACACCATGCCATCACCTTGCTGCAATTTCCAGAAGATAAATTGTTTCAAAGCACTAGAACACCAGAGAAAAGTTCATGGAAAAACAGTATTTTGTCTTCAGGGACTGCTTGAAATAGCACACGGGTAATATAGCAGGAACAATACACTTGATGACAAAGAGGAAAAAACCTAAATAGCTGTTTATTAGCAGCTGTGATGCTCAAGTACAATCTATCCCACGGCACTATCCATCCTGTGCATTGGATGAAGTGAGATTTAGTGGCACAAAACAGTCTTTAATTCATATGATTGTACCATGTCATTAGGCATTTTCACACAGGCACTGCACAGCGTATCCTACAGACTTTTAGCATCCAACTTAACTAGAACAATGATAACAAGTACAGACTAAAACAGGCCTTGATGAGATCAGGGTGAGCAGATAAATTAGATTAAAAAAGCCTGAAAAAGTCCTCTGATTATCTGCACATCTAGCTAGAGCAACATTTGATGTATTATAGGAAGTTCTGATAAAGGATGTTAGTGCAGAAGCTAAAAATATTTACTGGGCTAAAAAGGCACCAAATATGAATGGTACTACTATTTAAAAGACCACAGCAGACTGACATGACTTCAGGCCTAGTATTTAAAGACACGTAAAAATTTCATTGCTATTCTGCTTATCAACTGTTTGCACTCAACTGATCATTCAACTAACAGGAAAATAAAAATGGTTTTGTTTTTATTTCTGGAATACTTTTAAACCAAGGGCATACCTGCTTGGTAAACAAAGGCAGAAGAACACATTCCTATGTTCCTCCCAACTGCCAAGCTCCCCCAGATTTGGAGGTACATGGTGTAGATGAAAAAGTGCAATATACACCAAGCTCCTAAAACTCAACAACAGTCACTCACTCTACGCAGAGTGCTGCCAGAGGTGACTCAGTGTGCCACCCCCACATAGCTGCTGCCTGCAGAGGAGCTGGGTGACTCCAAGCACAGGGACATGCCCTGCAGCTGAAAACACACTGCTTCCTTTCCAGGCTTCGAAGGGAAGATGGCAGCCCCAAAAATCTGTCTGAGAAAGGATCTGGAGAAATGGAAGAAGTCATTGCTGCTCCACCTACTGCTAGAAGCTATGCAAGGCTGGTAATATGGATGTGCTCCTCCATGTCACTGAAAAGTCGACCCAGTTTAAATAAACTATCACAGAGGTGGGTTTTGTCTGAGTTCTCACTGCAGGTTATCAGGAATACTTGGCCACATGCAAAGGAAAAAAACAACCTGTGCAGGCAGAACAGTAATTTCTTAACCTACTCCAGTTTAATGACAGGATTTTTGTGATTGATCTTGGCTCTGTTACAGTTATCGGATGGGGAGGAGGAAAGAGGGCGATGACCTACTGGGAGGTGATTCTTCTCATGACTGTCACAGGCCTAATCCTCGTCTGTCTCCTCCTCTCCGAGGCTCTTTTCTTCTACTCTTCCTCCCCTGCCCAGCTCTTTACTCCTGCCCTAGATACCAGTCCCCACCCTCACTCTGCCCATTTCTCATCCACCTTTCAAGCTTTTTTATCACACCTTGCTCTCACCGTCAGCATTTTGATTCCTCACTCCTGGGCTCAGCCAGATGCAGGTTCCCCCTCACTCAGACTTCCTTCGACTGTCAATCCCCATCTACTGAAGTCTTCCCATCACTTGAGAGTCCTGATCTCAGCCTTCCTTTCCTCTCTGCTCCAGGTTTTGTTCCCTCTAGGTTTACATTATCCTGAAGGAATGGTGCATGCAGAGTTTTACCAGCATTGGTGGCATGAAGCAAGCTCACAAGAATCATTGGTTTGTTTTTTTGTTGTTTTTAGCAATGAAATTTGAAAGCGAATAGTTCAGAATGGGGTGGAAACTCCAGCCTGTTTTTCCAGGGTGGAAACCTCTTCCCCAGATTTCAAATTCCTTTCAATTACAGATATACTAAACGCTTGCATAGAATTTTTTTTTTAAAGACAAAGAAACAAACATGTGGTCATCAGAATTTCACACAGACATAAAAAATAGTGATTTGGCTGACATTAAAATAAATCAGCTGAAGTAGAAAACACAGCATGGAAAGCTTCAGTCCAGGCTAAAGTTTGGCAGTGTTACAAAGCGACAGAATCTGGGGCTGATGAGATCTGACAGGCAGCTTTAATCAAAACTGTAACACCAACCTCACCTAGGACAAATATGTTAAAGGAAAGAGCATGATGCCACCAAGTAAATACTTTCAGTAACTGCAGATTTAATTAAAAATCAATGATTAAGCAGGCACAAAATGAATATTTATGAGTTATTATTACTCATAAGAGAACTATTCACTATAGTTTCACTTCTTATTTTTAGCAAAAATACCAGCTGATCAAGATTATAAAAAACAATCAGTCTGGCTGTCAAGTTTTATCAGATGATGACATGGATAATAAAGTCAAAATTAAGCCACAATCTATTTAGTTTCAGGACTAACAAATAAATTGTTTATGATGCTTCATGGTTAGCTGAGTAAGATCTGGGCATACCAAAATGTTATGCCCATTAAAGAGCTTATCCAAATGCCAATAGGCAAGCATAATAATCCATCTCCCATCCATTACGAAAAACTAAGGGAAAAAAAAATGAAGGTTATCAGTAAAAAAGTATCTTTTGCTACTGTCAAATAAAAGTTAAGCTTGACTTTTGAGACATTTTAGAGCTTGCTATTGGAGAAGGACTTTTAACAAAACACGTGTAAGACTATAGAAAAAAAAAACAGTCAATTTCTCTGAGAAAATGAGTGGGTTATTTCAATTTACCAGGTACAATCAGGAAGCCTTTCATCTGGGTATCAGCTATAATGCAGGAAAGTGCTAAGCCAGTTCCACAGACTGCTTTCCTACTGTGCATTTTAACTGAGGGGAAAAAAGCAGGAGGCAGTTAACTGTAACATTGATGGTACAAATAACCTCTCACAGTATCACGTTATCTGGCAAGAAAATTCTTTTAGTATTTTCTTTTAGAAAATTCTTGCCAGATAGGTGTAAGACCTAACCCCTAGCCCTGTGCTATCTATTCAACAGCCATTTTTCAGTCACTTCTTTGCTATTTGTACTGGGACCATCTATCCATTTTACTTCTGGATGATTTATTCAATCTCTGTGACCACTGAAACTTTGCCTTCTGCTGTCCCAGCATGTAAATGTATTACTTTTTTATTTGGAAAGAAATGAGTGCTTAGCTCTCATCATGCTCCTTATGTTCCAGGTGCTCACCTTGTACTTCAGTTTTCTGTGGCTTATCAGTAAAGGCCAACAACGGTGACCTGGACCGCTGTAAAACAGGCAAGGTTGGGTCACTGAATGTTATGGTATCCTTTCCACCTAAAACAAAGTGTTAGAACCATTAATTCACCAATGATATCCATTGTACACTAATGACATTCAAACATATTTTTTGCAATGTTTTTGTAAAGTACAGAACAGGAAAAGCATCTCAAATGATCCTTCTACAGCAAGGAAAAAATACTCAGTACTGGAGCTGAGTGGAATATGCAAGTCAAATACAGAAAAGGCATATGTTTTTAGCTGCAGTACTGAGTAAAGGACAGATTTTGAAAGAAGACCAGGTGCTGCATGCAGCAAATTGTATTAGCAATTACCATTCAATTCAGAATATTAATAATCAGGTAATACCAAAAGTTTTACAAAAAGTAATGGATCATTTGCATGCTATTACCAGCAAGTGTTCAGCACTGACTCTTTACTCTCTATTACTCTGCCTCAGTGAGGAATTTGCTTATATCACATATGTAGTTTTACACTACAGACTCACACATATATTATCCTACAATGCTGCCTTAAAAAAATACTAAAAGGTTAGCAGAACTAAGAACTGAGGGAGCAGACAAGTATACATTGCTGGGGAACAGGAGGGATTTTAATCTGAAAATTCCAAAACAATTTCTGAGCATTTTTGTCTTCTGCCAAATGGAAAAGGGCAATTTTCCAGCTCTTTTGCAGACAAAATAGAGCAAGAAACTCTTCAGCTGAGGACTCTGCTGTAGATGCCTAGTCTTTACATATTTCAGCAATACAGAAAACAGCACCTGCAGATCCTTTAGGAAGTCCTCCACTATTCAGGATGCTCAAGTTTTCACTGACCGACACTACCTTAAACCCAGAGGGGGGATGGTAGGCAATGTGCAAGATCAGCTAAGTGTGGCGTTTGCGTGGCCTCCAGAAGCACTGCCAACCCATAAGTAATGGCTGGGGAGGCGGCGCGCCGCTGCTCTATTTATCTCCATAAGAACAGACATTTATGTAACAACCACTTCTCCCCTCTAAATCTGGTTGTACGTTTCACCTTAAGGCAACTTCCTAAATCTAATCAACCATCCAAGACAAAGACTTTCAAAAGAGCACCAGGTCAGGAGATACCCGGAATAAATCCAGCTCTCAGAAAGTTCTGGTGCCTACTAAGAAATAATGAAAGTCAAGCTGTTCCCATGCAGTCTTGATTGGACTATCCCAATGCCTAACTACTTTTGAAAGTACTGGCTGTGAATACCTTGATCCCAAAGGTATTAGTGGCAATTTTATATCCTTAATGTGTTGGGATATATATATATATACTGCAGCAATATGAATGCAGTTAATGCTTTTGAAATACAGATCTTGTCAAGCTTTGATCCTTCTGTCAAGTATGCCTTTACCATAGCAAATAATAAAATAACATTAGCTAACAGCAAAGTGGAGAACTCCCCCAGTGTAAGGCAAAATTAATTAATTTTTTTAAAAAAGGCAGAACAAATCTGATGGCTATTTCAAAATGCAAAAGCCCCTAAAAGAATACACTGTCCTGTAACTGTGAAGGAATTTTGTTTTGGAAGAACTAAATCATCCAGGGAACCACGAGAATGAAAACATCCAATAGGTATTCATATGCAGTCAAAAGTAGCCACCAATCCAAAAAGATACAGAAGAATCCAACAGAGGAAGTAAAATTCAAAAAGATGATGAATAAAGAATGGGGGGGGAGCCTTAAAAGTAGAAAGCAGAGTCTTTTTCTTTTTTTGAATAAAGAAGTAAAGCCTGAGCTACAGTCCCTGAAGATTGTAAGACAAGCATCAAAAAATAAACTACTTGACTTCCAGCCAGCATTTACACAGTAAACACATCCACTTTCACATTTTTCTCTGAAAACCAACTTGGTTACAGAAAATAGAGCTAAGCTCAGTATCCACACATCGAAGCAACAGACGTGTCCCACAGAGTCTGATGTGTATTTATTTATTAACACTGACTCATACTCATTCATGAAGGAGGGACACGGGAGTACGGCTGCACTATATTCTGTGAATCATAATCCGAAGTTGGATTACACACAGGGAATTTCAATTAGCTGCTGTGTAAACTCCATTTCATTACTTGTATAGCTTCGTGTTCCTCTAATGAATATTTCAAGGACTTTGGTGAAAAGTATACAGGTATCAAAATAAGCAGACAAGTAAGTCCTCAATAGTAGTAAATTCTTTATTTCCTTCTGCAGGGTTAGGCATGCTCTTATAACCTCTGCTGCACCCTACAGTGCAGTGATGGGCTGTACCTACAGCAGCTGCCGAGCCCATGATTCTACCTCGTCCCTGCTCCACACTGAGTGCTGCAGAGCCAGAGACAGCGCTGAAACTTTCTTATCATCCCAGACAGGAAAAGGCTGAGTCACGGTCAGCTCTTTTCTTAGGCTTTTTTCAGTGGAAATCTGGAATTTTCAGGAAATGATAGATTTCTAAAAATACAGATGTCTAGTGACATTAAATTGTGAGAGGAATACGGTGGTGATTACTATGTATTATTACTTTAATACATTTAATGTATTATGCATGCGTATTTCAACCACAATGTACCAAAGACAAAGCAAAGAATTAAATGCTTTTGCAAGCATCACATTCTCTGCTTCCTTCTTAAGGAAAGTAGTCTCATAACTAGAAAATCAAGAGCCAAATCTATGCCCTACCCTGCTTTCTTTTAGCAATGAACCTCGCAAGAGATGCATTTAATTAAAGCCCGTTTTCCAAACAGGAGAAACTAAAAGTATGTGGTAAGCAGAACTTCTACAGAACATGAGCGATGCTACCAGCTGGACCATTTAAAAATTAAATATTCACTTCCTCTTGATTCAGCTCCCCTGTAGTTCATTCATACATTGCTCAAAAAGCAGATGACAAATACATCACCTAACAAAAAATCGGAAGTGGTCAAGCTCTTTCTTCAATGGGATAAAGTTTATTAACATAATTTATTAACACCACTTGGAAGATATTAATATCATGGTACAGCAGATGTTATAAATGTTATATGGACAATGATGACTAAGTAGGAACATTAACTTCAGATTAAAATCCTGCAATGTATAATGTACGTTTCTTTCAGTGCTAGACTGAACAACAGCTTTCATCTGCATATTTTTTCCAACGACAAAAGGTTCAACTTACACCCAAATAATATTTTTTTCTTTAAGAGTGACTGGATGAGACTTTCCCCATGCCCTGCCCCTCACCCAAGCCAACATGCAGCTGCAGAGTCCACAGTGGCAGTTCCCACAGTATTTGTTACATGCTGCTGTTTTATGGAGCGGAAGCTTTCCACGCTCTGGAAAGAAAATTGGTGACCCACCAGGTGTTGCAAGGTTCCTTCTGACCACCTTGGGACTAGAGTGCACTTGGAAACAAAAGTGCACTCTTGATTTAAGAGGGAAGCAGCAAATCAACAAACCCTGGAGCTCAGCAGAACTTGCAATCTGGTGTAAAATTCCTTTACAACTATTTAAGATCATCCCTTCTTACTATTTTCCTCAATTTAAAGGAATTGAGCAGTGTCTATTTCTCTTGTGGTCATCTAACTTACTTGACTGAACATCTTAATCCGTCAGATATAAAAATGTTCAGTTAATATTTCTGTTTATTTACATGCAGTGACAATATTTAACGTATTGCTAAAATCAGTTACTAAAAATAATGTCAAGCAGAACCTACTCCCAAATCCCACTGAGACATTGTAGCTCAGGCCTTCAGGCAGCAGGAGAAAGGAAGGAAAGAGACAGTTGTTATTGCATAAACATTAATTTGATGTCTTACCTACACAGACCAACAATGGTGCAAGCAGTTCCCACTGTTCCATTTTTTTAAACACATTTTGTGATGGTTAGAAATGCAGCATTTATTAGTGCATGAATTTCATGGAATATTATTTTTGAAAAAAGATCCTACAGTAGCTTAAACTGGTGAGTTCAGACAACATTTGTACTAATGTACAAACCTCCATTAGCAGGGTCTTGGACAAATATTTCACCTGCATCTTTTGGAGAATGTGGGGAGGGCCAGATGCAGCAAGTATACTCTGTATGTTAGGTGGCTAACTGAAGAATGATCCACGGAAACAAATTTGGGGCCTTCAGTTCTGGAAAATGTCAGTAAGAGGGCCAGTTCCAGAAGGGCAACTGAGGATGCCTTCAACAAACGAGCTGAAGTGGAAACACACCACATCCAACCAAATGGCTGCACAGCGGAGGTTTGGCATAGGGCTCTTCAGCTTTGTCAAATGTTTTCTTCTGGATGCAAAGATCAGGTGGAAAAAACACAGAACCAAAAAACTAGAAGCCTAAACTCCACCGTGTCCCACCACCAACAGCACTGATAGGGAGCTGTAAACAACAAAGCCTAATGATGCAAACATCAACAATGGAGTAGTGTAATTTACAGTGGTTACAAAAGACACAATTAGGTGTAATGGGAAGAGAAGAAGCAAAAGTAAATGTAAATTAAATATTGCACATTTTCCCAAAAGCCAGGTCCATTAGGAAGCAGATTAATTTCCCATTACTTGAGTAATTCAAAACCAAATACACACTTAAGATGCTACAGGGAATAAGCCTGCTCTGGAGAGATGGACTAGAAAATTTAAGATCATTTACATTTCCAATTTCTCAGAGTTTACAATTCTACAGAAAAACATTAAAAATAAAACTATAAAATCCATGGAAGTCACAAAAAGTACAAAATTAATAAATAGAATTTGTTGAAAAAGATAGTGGCCAATATCCTATGTATCATTTTATACAACTGTTTAAATAAAAGAGTTCCAATTTTTTTAGTCTGCAGACTATGAAGACAATTTGATTATTTCCAGGATTTAAAACTATTTTTTAACCAGTATACATATTTGACTTAGAGTGTAAAGAGACCAGTGATTTTTGATTACAACTTAACATTTATTAGAAGCTTCTAATGCGCTGAACAGCGCATTTGCAAAATAACTGTCATTAAAAAAATTACAGCCAAGTTTTTCTTAAATGCAAATATACCCTTGAAAACTAAATAATGCAAGCTGTTCTCTTGATTTTTTACTAACCTGGAAGACTCCATAAGCCAGCAATTTCCAAAGTTCTTAATTTCTTTTCTAGTTCGGCCACTCGATTACCTAAAATTCTTTGGAAAAAGAAAATAAAAGCCAGGGATAGTCAGCTGAGATGAGATCCCTTGTTATACTAAGGCAACCAAAGCCCAATTGCTTACATGACTACAGCTGAATTTGTAACTTGTTACTTAACCAGTGCCATAAACCTGTATCTAGTCATCTCTTTTCGCTAATGGCAATGGATGACCTCCCCCAGAGTTAAAAGAAAATGAAATATAGTTGTCTAATCTATCCCATGGTTTAAAAAAACAAGCAAAAAAAAGCCCAGGATGTACTGGACATACAACTTTTGCCCTTTGGTAAAGATGAAGAATAGCAGCTCACAATATCTCTATTTCCTTGTCTGCAAATATCTCTTCCTAGTTACTTTTACTTTCTCTGCAGCTAAAACCAGAAGGTAAAAGCTATGCAGACAAAACACAGAAAGCGCAGGACAACATCTAGATTGGTTTTGAAGTTCTAAGACACAATTTTGGCCTAGTTCTTTATTCACAGAGGTTTCTCTGTCACCAAGCTTGCTTAAAATGGCAATGAGTATCTTTTCCACTACATTTTTTCTTTTAGTCCTGAACTCTGTTTTCTACTTTACTAAAAACCTTCAAGCTCTTTAGTGCCTTTATCACCCACTCTTAGTTCCCACTGCATTTCATGGATCATCTCTTCTTTTGTTTCCGATTCCTACACAAATACTATTTGCAGTTGGCTCTCCTGCAGGATTTACCTTTTAGTCTTAATTCTTTCCCAGATCAAATGAGAGATTTCTATCTTGTGAAGAAAGCTCTTTTTTCCAATGAATTTTTGAAAATGTTTCTCTCACAGGCACAGCAAGTCTCCTAGAGTCAGAAGCCTTTAAATAAATCCCAACCAATACTCAGGGTGAGGAAACCTAGAGGAGGCAGCAATTCCAAACATGACAGCAAAGATAATGGACGGCAAGTTTTACTCATCAAATTACAGCAAGAGTCAGTTAAATTTAAGTCAGTTAAATTTGAACAGAATGCTGAGAAGCTGCATATTGCAACTCAGCGAGGCAATAGTACTGGCCCATGCTCACCAGGGCTGCGTAACGCTGCCCTGCTTGCTCTTCACCAAGGGTTTACACTGCAGACATTTGAGCACACTGGGAAAGTCATTACTGACAAGACGGCAGAATCTGGGAAGGATGTGAAGGACAGCAAACACAGCACATATCATAGGGGCTAGAAAACTGGATTAACAAGGACTAAGTATTTTTGAAATCTCTACTGTGAGGGCTCTACAATGACACTATAAAAGCCTGTAAGTATTTTAAAGATTACAGAAATATCAAGATGAGAGAGAGAGAGAGAGAATGTAAAAGAGAAAGCAAGCTTACAATAAACATCAAAGCAAGCACCGAGAGGTATAAGGGTGTATATCAACTAAAAAGCAAACACTCCACCATGTTTACAAGCAGGGAAGACATTTGAGAGCAGTTATGTTTATTTCCCATTGAAACTCAGTAATCAAATAGGTTACCAAGGTTATGATGGATCTATTACTGTCTTCTCTAATTACATTCAAAATTGTTCAAGTCTAGATTATGCTTTCATAATGCTTCCATCTGGTATGAGAGACTCAGCCTTAAAATCTCTTCTTTTCATAGCCCAATGCATGGCCCGACATCCACAACTGTGCTCTGCAGCACAAAGCAACAGGAAACAGAGAAAGGCACAGAGCAACTTTCAAGAAGCTCAATCTTGAACACAGGGAGTCCACTCCCATCTCCCTGTCCAGGGCCCCCCCAAGGGGCAGCTGGAGGACGTGGCCTTCCCCTAGCTTAGAGAGGCAGGGGACAGAGATGATGCAAGGCTTCTTCCACACCATCTCAGCCAGGGAGCTGACAAAACAACGTTGATTTGGCTAATGACTGTTACCACAAACTGGTCACAAGTTCAGTCATAAGCAGTTCACCAGTAGTTCCAGGGAGAAAAGGAGCGAAGGACAGTGCCCTCCTTGTCAGCTGGCTGTATCGCTGAAGGAAACACAACCCTCTGCATTGAATTCAGTGATTCCTACTGCTCTTTTTATTCAGACAACAATAGCAAAGCCACTTCTCTCTTGCTTCTCTTAAATTTTATAATTCATTTATCAGCTGTACCACTCTATTTCTAAAGGTTTGGGAGCAAATATATCCTGGTAATTCTTACTGGATTCTCGGAAGAGGCACTGAGCTATTTTTTAACCTTTGTTGCAGGTTCTCACATAGAAGGATCGTTCGAGGACTCTGAACAATGGCTGGCGAAAAGAGAGGACTTAACCCTGCTCCCTTCATTCAGGAAGAAAGCAAAATACACTCGGTGATAAGTGTGATTCTGGTTTGCTCCAAACCACATTATCTGAAGACCGGCATGGGTGAAATGACCCCTAAGTAGTGCTGTGAGTTCTTATAGAAACAATTTTTTAAAAAATTAAATGTGTAACCACAGTGTGGTTTATCCCATTCCTTCCTTTCCCCTGTGACTTCCAGATAATCTTCCACCTCTGTATGTGCTGTGGGAAGACTGAGCTGTGGTGGCCTGGAGCAGCAGGTATTTTGGTAGCATAAAATTCTCTCATCTATTTTTTTATCTCTAGCCATAGTGGACCAGATCCTTCGACTGAACCAGAAGAATCATGCCATAGACAAAGATGATGTCCTCTGGCCATGTGTCTAATGCAACAAGGGAGTTAGTCTAAACCTCTCTGCAGGATAAGATTTTACAGAAATCTGTTGTTCACATAACAGCAGCAATGCTCCTAACCTGAATTCAGAAGCTCCCTTCTGGCTCTCCCATGCTTCCCAACATGCATGGCCATAATCTGAAGGGAGCTGAGCCGATTTACAGCACCTGAGCTCCAAACACCTCATTTTCAATTTAGATCTTACTACAGAAGATGTACACCCTCATACAGATACAGTGACTCAAATGTCTGTAGATAGGGTGTGTAGATAGGGACCCATATTTATGGTCAAAATCTTCATTGTATGCATCACATGGAAACATTTACTCAGTTACAGACTAACACAGTCCTTTCTGTAATTTTGGTCATGACTGAGCTTGCCCAACTTAAAAATGCTGAAATTAGTGCAACATGCCTAAGCAGCAGAGCGGCATCTACACTGATCTGGCTTGCATGGGTGCTGGTAATTTCAGGAACAAATTGCACTAAAAAGAACATCTTACAAACTGACAGGAGAAAAAAAAGTATTTTCATCCACTTTCTAGGCAGGGTTAGGACTGTTTATTTTTGCATTTATGTAACTATTTAATCTTGCAACGCATTACTGCATACAGAATTCATTTACAACTGCCTGTTCAAATTAAGCTAATGCGCTTGTGAAGAAAAAGACAGGATGTTACTTAAAGTTAGCAGTAGAAGCTACCAATCACCTGGGGAAAATGACCTGTTTTCTTCCCAAACAACTTTTTTTTCTAAAAGTGGGTCTGAAAAAAATAAAGGCTTGATTTAGCCTACTCGTTCCTAGGCAGATACTCTCACAGCTCCTTTTATCATGCCACACATTTAGAAATGCGGCAATAATAATAGTGTGTCTGTTCCAAGAGCAAGTGGCAACAGATATTTTTAACAGAAGTATAACAGCAGAAAGTCAACTTCAACAGCACATCCAAATCCTAATCTATGTAAAAAATCCACTGTCTTGTTACTGCTTCAGTCAATCAGAAAGCAAATCTACCATTCTGCTCTTGTAAACTTACACAGCCACATCTCAACCTGCAAGCAACAAAAGAGGTTTTGACGTTAGAGTAGGTTAACTGTTTGGAGGAAAATAAGTTCATATAGTTTGAAAAGTCCCATTTATTGATAATAGAAACACTAATAGGTAGATCAACTATCAAATATCAAAAGCAGAACTTCTTCCCCGAATGAAACAACCACCCCAAAATCTCATGTTCTGTATCCAATAGATCTCACGTTCTTCACACAACAATCTCAAAGAGTAACTGTGTCCTCCAAACATGCTCATTGTGCAGGGAATGCCAGGCAAATAGGACAGGAGACTTCTGCCTTCTGATTCATGTAAAACCTTTAGTCATTACAATTCTCTCTAGCCTCGTATCCTTCTCCTACTTTGAATGCAGAAATGTCTTCAACAAAGAAATGGATCTTCTACTAGTACCAGTTTATGGACCTGTCCGCTTCACTTGTGCACTGACCTGACTCTCACCACTAACCTTCCCCGACAGCTGGGCAGTTTATTCTCCAATTTCAGAAGTCAGCAGTCTTGTAACTTTTCACATGGCAAATAAGTGCCCCCAGAAACCATCTAATGCACCTCAGATAAAGGATGCTTCTTCCCGATGTGCTACCTGCATTTCCCTTTTTCACTTTAATTCTTTTTTGTCTTAGGTGTTTCTACTTGAAGTAGTTCCCATTCCTCCTAGCTCCTTAAAAGCTTCTTTAATCCAACTAAAGCCAAAGGTGACAAAAAGAACAAGCATACCATGTAGGAGTGTTGCTGAGGCTCTTCACTCAACTTGCCTGGGATTTACCTTTCTTTTTTTGCCTCCGAAGCACCCTGAATGCAATACAACACTACAGCTCTGAGCACACTCCTGACCTGGGAGAGATGTGAACTGTCACCTCCCTCTGAGGCCTGATCTACAGGGCACAGCATTTGTGCACATATCCAACTTCTACTTCTGTGGCTATATATGACCAGCGGGGCAAGCAGATAAGAGAATCCTATCTCCTTGTGAAGGCTTTTCTTAAAAAAAAAAAGACCATACTCAGTAGTTGAAAGCAGAGACAGTGATACCAGAAAGTAAAACCATCATCACAATGATACATCTGAGAGATGCAAGAGACTGCATGTGATCAAACAGAAGGAGAAAATTAAGAAAGAAGTTTGCTATAGTTATAGGCAAGAATATGCAAACTAGAACACCAGCTAATGACACGGTATCAGGATGTAAAGACAAATATTGGTTATACCTGGAATAACAAAAGTTGTCTGGATGTTTTCCTTCTGAGGTTACATTAGCAGTAAGAAGGCAGTAAGAAGGCGTTAGCACTTATTAGCACTGCTCAGTGCAAGAACTCCTCTTGCATTACACGACACTTACGGACATGAATTGACTGAGTTGCCATCAGTGAGATCTGGGCTACATTTTCACTGCCTTAGTCTCCCTTTAGCTGATTAGGCATTTGCTTTCTCAGTAGTATTAACAGTGGCTATAAACTGCTCCTCTGCTTCTGTTGCCACATCACAAAGAATTATGCAATCGAGTCTGCCTAGTATCAGAGTTATCAATTTTCAAAATGAATCATATATTCTAGTGCAATATAGTTTACTTCAGTACTACTCCTTCCTTTCATGAAAGATGTCTGCCTGTTTCTGGCATCTGGTCCTGATGTGCTTTTGAGAAGTCTGAATAACCTCTGATTACCAGTAGTGACTCAGTGTTAAAGAAAAAAACTGAGCACAGAATCAAGGAACATTTCCTAGCTCTGATTTTCATACACTGTATAAGGACAATAATATCAGAATGTCAGAAAATGTGTCAAAAATCATTATATTCTGCCATGATAGGAGCTGTGCAAGACACAAAGAATTCCACTGATGAGTAGAACAGCTAAGAATAAACAAATTCTCCTTGAAAGTTCAGTTCAGATTTTTTTTTTTAAATCATATAGCAGCAATCCAACTGTGTTTATCTCCTACAACTTTCAGCAAAGTAACTACAGGAGCAACAGCTACCACTTGTATGACACATAGGCTGCTAGCCTGTGACAAATGTTACACTACATCTTTTCAGATCCTTTCCTAGGGGCAACATTTTCCATTCCTACTCATGTTGAGTAGCAATTTTCTACATTAACAACCAATTATCACATATCTTCTCCTCCAGTTCAAGGAAAGACATCCTGGCAGCTTTTCTTTAGCCCTCCCTACAGATTACCTGCTAGAAATCCCCCCTGTGTGGTTACAGTTTGTCTTAAACTTGAGCAGCAAACCAATCCTTGCCTAGCAGAGGCAGACAGGTCTCCATCAATCCCAGACTTTACATTGAAAGTGTCATTTTTCTTTAAACAGTACCTGATCTTAAAAATGAGATAACCCACCAGTTAATAATGATAATGTGTTTTCTGTGAAAATGGACCTTCCTTCCCATTTCCCTGACAATCCTCTCAAAGACATAACTTTTCCATAGCTTGGTAATTTCTGTTTTACTTAGAAGTCATGCTACCTACTTGTTGGTTTGCCTTTGGTGTTGTATGACCATGTTTTTTTCATGGATAGTTTCCAGCAATGCAGTGGCCAGTGATTTGAGATCTGAAATGGACTGTGGTGTGGCTGGTAGGCTGCATCCATGATCCTCTGACAACAGCTCTTGGACTATAATGTTAAAAACACAAATGAGTTCTGGCTTCTCATGCACACAGATGTGACGTAAACATTTACTTAGCATTAACAAACTACTTTCAATACTTAAATTAATACATATTTTTTCCTCCAATTAACAAAGCCAAAAGACCAGAAATATAATCTCAAGATGGCATAAATATGGTGGCTTTCTGAACTGATCATTACTCCACAGCAATTGCCAGAGCAAGTATAGGCAGACACATCTTATGTTAACTTAATTCTGCTTTTGGAAAATTATTTTTGTACAGAAGGAAACAAACTCATTCTCCTACAGGCATACAGATTGGTTAAAATCAGTCATTTCTCTCCTACTTACATCAAAACATAAGCCCACAAGAATTACTATATCCTTTGGGTTATTTAAGACTGATGGGAACATACAGTCACTCGTGAACTCTCTCTCTGCAGCTTAAAGCCTGTACCTCTCAACCACATCAGGAAGTTCAGTAGTATCATTAACTTCTGTAACTAGAATCTGGCTCTGCCTCTTTTAGATAAATCTATTTATACATATATGCAAGTACATGGAGAAGAGGACAGAAGAGAAGTCAAAACCAGAAAAGTCAGTTTTAATCTACCATGACAAATACTACTGATCTCATGTGTATGTGTACAAATACACCAGCACCTAAACAGTAGGATGCCAGGTCTACTGTTTGGCTCAAAGAATTTTCTCTTCCCCTTTCTTTCATAAACTTCATATTTTCCTTGAAGGGAAAAAAAAAGATTGCTCCATTTTGCTACCCATGAAGAAACATGGGACAAAAGGATTTCTTGCAAAACATCCGAATGTAGAAGCTTTCAAGAACAGCAGCAGAAAACCTGACTGAGGACCCCTTCTCTACCACTCAGTCTATTTTTCATTGGAATATGAATTGTGATTGCCTTTGTTTGCAGTGCAAAGAGATGAATAAAGAAGTGATTTGTCAGGGTCAAAGTTGCAGAGGGGTTTAGAGATTAATAAAAACCCAAATGATAAAACTGACAGGGGAGAGAATGAATGGCAAAAGAGTAACAAAAGGAAAAGCAGCACTCAAGAGGCAAATTTTATATTGTCATGTCAACTGAGAAAAGGAGAAAAACTAGCAAATATAATAAACAGGAGAGAGAAGAAAGATTCTGGTTTGGTTGGTGAGGAAAGGATTACTGAATTTAAGAGGTAAGAGGGAAGGAATTCAATGAGATACGCAACACCATGTTGCATTTATGCAATACCTTGCTTTGCAGACAAGACTCCAGTCAGAGCACTGCTACCGGATCTACCATGGGTCTTTGAATTTTTTCGTCTCTCTAGTGCATTCTAAGGAAACAACAAATATCTTATTTAGAAAAACAGCATCCAACAAATCCTTTTATTAGGAGCAAAGAATCTGGAACTTTGGATATTGGTCTCAGAACCACTCTGCGGGGGCTGGAACTTACACCTATAGTAACCTGTGAGTGGGACCCTCCCGGAGTATTATTTTCCAGTCAAAACAGCCTTTGCAATGTTACAAAGACTCATTCTGTCTCACTGCAACCCCTTTTTTGTAGTCTCTTCCACCAACTTCCCCCAATGCATTTTTAAGACTTGCCTATTTTTTAATTAACTGCTGAGTGCCAGTGAAGATACTGGATACTACAGGATACAGAAGTATCATTTAGGAACAAAATCAGACTTTTGCTAGCATTTCTTTGGATAAGCTTCAAAGGGAAAGCTCACACTTCTGTACCAGAGCTTCTAGAAGCCCTTTTAGTAGCAACTACTGACGTTCAGGAATTAGCAGCAGAATGGTCCTGCTACAGATGTCCAGCTGTTCCAAAACGTCTAACCATTCTGTGAAACCTACTTGACCGCCACTGAAATGAATCTGGTACTTCAAGGAGTTTTGTGCATGCAATTAGTGCTGTGACTGCTTCATAGTGACCTAAGTCCTAGTGACAGTTCTAAGACAACCCTTCTCATGCCGTGACAAGCAGCCCTCCCCTCCCACACCGCAAAATCACTTAGGGAAATAAACAGAGTGCTTGACTTCAGTGTGGCCATTAGGGAACAGGGAGACAAAACCTGTGCCAGTAACACAGTTGCAGTTATACTGCAACACATACTACATGGCCTGCTACTTTTCACCTACCAGCAGGCTGGAAAGCTGATCACGTCCCCAGCAGGAGGATGGTTCCCCCACAGAACTTAAAAAAGGTATTTAATTCATTTAATTCATTTTTTCCAAATACTCTTAATGGGCATCCCTTTGCACTACCATCAGCTAAGAAGCCTACAAGGAAGACTGAGCATGCAATATGTATATATACTAATACTGTCAGAATGTTAATGGTGGATTTTTCTTTGAAGACACAATTTTGCTCTGTAAATGCATACGCACATGAGAATGAGCAATAACCTCTGTGAACAACGAAGCACAGTTTAGATGTATGCTGAGAGGATCTTACCTTATATTTAGTAATACTAGACTTAAGAAGGTTGACTTCCTCTTGAAGTTGTTTTAATCTCTCTTGAAGATACCTGAAAAAGAAATGTAATCCTTTACTTCATGTTAGCTTCAAGTACTGCCTCAAGCGCTCCTCTTTACTATTTGGCATGTCCTCTCTTTGAACTACTGAGGGCTCTTTTCCCTCTGCAGTTTTGTGAGGGATAAAATAACAAGATCTTACTGCTCTTGACCCCATAAAACTTTAAGTAGGGAAACAAAGTGCATCAGAAAAGAGGCTGCCCTTCTGTTAAGATTTGTTAAGTACGTTGTACAAGCATTTTATATCAGTCCTCAGGTTTTTGGGAAGGGAAGCTAAAATGATATATTCATGTCTAGGGGAAATAGTCAGGAAGCATTTACTTGTGTCCTCTGTACTTGAAGTTTTGTGAGATGGACACATGAAGACTCAACTATGCAGAACTTTTGCACTGCAACATCCATCACTTACATGGCACTTCTCATTAGCAATGACAAAGTATAAAATTTAACAGTACAGTTGAAAAATGGCACACAGTTAACTGACACAGTACAGTTCTTCCTAATAGACTTTATGCACTTGGATTAGATGGATATTTTTCACATAGGAAAATATCTTTTTTAACTACAAAGCATTTATAAAATATCCTCTTTCGTGTAGTGCAACTACAGCTGTATTGGGGCTTAACTATTTTTAAGAAAAAAAAATAGTATCACTGTCAGGGGAGCAAGGGGTTTAAATTGATGTCCAACTCTGTAGGCCACGCAAAACAAAAAAAAACCCTAGAGTTGCTGTGAAGAAGCAATGTATTTGGTATTACACTTTCGTACCTGAAGCATAAGTAGTGTCTTACAAGATCTATTTTACTTCAAGGCAATTGTTGACATTAAGGGAGGTACCTCCTCTCTGTTGTCCTTAGCAGAGATCATAAAACACATTCTTTTCCCAAGGAAGTGGTAAGAATATCTACATGGTGATTTCACCAGCAACTTTTGTTGGCAAATCCCTCCATGTTGACAACCTCTCCCTGTGGTGAGAATTATGTCCGAAACTGTTAACTCAGGGTACTCAAAGTCCCTGTTTCCCATCCAAGATCAGCCCATTTCAGCTGAAAACACCAATTTTTAACACTCTTGCTTTTGGTATCATACAGTGATGGGAATAAAGATGTCTGCACTTCTCTTCCTTTTCCTTATTTAGCTCTATTTGCGAATATCACTGACACATCTGTAGCCAAACAAAATATTAGTAATTTCCTGTGGCCTAACTTTCTCAATATTATTTTATGGTTAGCTACAGTACAAACAGAACAGACAAAACAGATTACCAAAATCTCTTCACTTTTATTTTCAGATATATTTTCTTTAAAGTTTTAGTTTTGGCTGACTTCCCAATACTCCTGTTAAAGTAATACACTGCTTATTCTAGGGAAACAGTAAGGTTTGCAATGCACTCACCTGTTCTCCATACATAGAGCATCTACGTCAATGATACGGTTTTCATGCCCTCCTAAGACATGATTAAGTTCTTGGTTTAGTCTGTCAGACTTATCTTGGTAAAAAGAGCGTTCCTCCTTCACATCCTGCAACTCATCCAGGGCAGCCTGAAGATCATGTCTCAGAGCCTCGATCTGAGAAGAAAGGAGAGCAATATGATTATATTGAAGTTTAAACTAAAGATTACATAGCACCCAAACTGAAAACAGCACCAAGCACTGCATGTCTGAACAGAACCAATTTTTGGACAGACAAAAGTCTTTCAAAAGCTCATAACTCCCAGCACTTTTACTCTATTTTGGTATTATTTCATCAACTTGAAGTTAAGTAACTTTAGCAGTTAGACTTATTTTACAAAATTTCTAGAAAACAACTAAAATGTAACAGCAAAAACCCCTTCATCCATACTATAATTCTGCTACAAACATATTAAGCTGGTTTTAGCATATAATTTCTACAGCTCCAGGAATGAACTCAACTGAGTAAGCATCTGGCAAATTTGGAGGATGAAAAAAAAGTCTGTAAGGGGGAATTTATACTAATTTACGAGACTTTCAGCAATGAAGTTCCACAGAATAGGAAGAAGAACTGATACAAAGTACAAAAGTACAGAACAAACCAGCATGGAGTAGACAGGGTGAGCTTTGCTATTAAGCAAAAGGGTGAAGGAGTTCAGTTTGAAAGATACTAAAGGACAAAGCACAAGAAAAGTCTGCAATGATTTGAGAAGTCTCCACCTCAGCAAACACCAATAAGCCAGGAAGGACAACAGAAGACCATGTGAAAAGGGGCCAGGTGATCAACAGAAAGAGCACGAGCTTGGGAACAGAGATATCAAGGAGAATCACACTGGAAAAAGACCAAATATGCACCTCCTGCTGGATCACAGAATTCAGGTGGAGGAACAACAGATAGTGCAAATCTCCAAAACTAAAGCTATGTAGCAGTATTAGAGAGAGAGTCTGATGAATTGGATGCTGCATGGTACGTAGCATTAATACAGACTTGAGGTAGGGAAAAGAGGTCTGATGCAAGAATTTTTCAAAAGAGGGGAGGAAATGGTTAAGAGACAGGAGGAAGAACAGACTAAGACCACTTCTACAGAAAATTTGATATCTTTAGGTAATGGATCAGCCACCGTATATTGTGTTGAATACTTGTAACAGCTTTCATTAAGGTGTGTTTTTCAGTGACATTCATTGACAATATTAAATTGTCACAAGTTGTTGCTGCACATTATAAAAAGAGGAGAATCAATAATCTAGAGAAGGAATTACTGAGATGAGGAAACTCACTCTAATCATGTATGAATGTTTAAGTTAGTGCTCAGTAAGAGCTACTTCAGTAAAAATCCCAACACCTTCACCACTATTTGCAATGATCATCAGCTACCAGCACTGCAAATACAATAGAAGTTAGTTATTACTTGCTCTCGGGCCTTCTCCAACTGCTGAACAAGGTCCTCCCGTTCATGTGCTGCAAAGTGCCGAGCCCCAACTTCATCATCTCCAAGCCTCTGCTTTGCTATTGTCATTCGAAGAAGCTGCAATTACAAAAGCAGACTTGGTAAGCAAGAGAACACAGGCTGCAGCATCAGCGTACATCTGCATTAGAAAGAGCAAATCTGTCATAGATTTCATCTCTTCCAGGTCAAACAGCTGCTATAATTTAAACCAGAGGGAATTTTCTGAGCTGAGGGCTCAATCCTGCTCTCAGTGAAAAATTTCAGTCGAACACTCAAAGCATCAACAGGAGCTGTATTAGACCCTGCAACAACAGTCACCAGTGTATACAGATGATGGAAGACCAAGTAAACACAGACAAGTGGTCAATGCTTTTTAGGAGTGACAGGAACTAATTCTGGTCAGATTAAAACTCAAGAATTCTCAGAAAGCCATTTTCATATGCAAAACTTAAAGCTCTCTGCAGCAGAGAATGCTTCTTAGTTAAGAATAAAAGGGCACGAAGTGGCTTGCACTGTGCTACATCAGTGCAGAATTTCCATTAACAGCTGCTAATGCATTTGCTCGTGCATTATTTTTTTCATCTACTCACAAAAGTTTATTCATGTTAAAAAAAAACCACAAACAACAACAAAACACAATCAGGCCAACAACAAAAAGACTTGGCCAAAAATGCTCAAACAGGTAATGAACTTAAGAGCTTCATGACTGATTAAAACAGTCTGACTTGAATTAATACATGGTTATATTCAATATCCGAAGCAAAAAGCAACTGTCTTTCAAGAACCACTGAATATTAAAATAACAGTCTATAAGGCGTTCAGCATTTACAGTTGTTTATACTGAGCACAAGTAGTCAAAAGCGTTGCCTCCCTATGGCCTCATTTGTAGGAGCTCCACAGAGACTAAAGAAACCCACCACAATAACCAGCTTGACTTTCCCCCTATCTTTGACTGCACCAAGGAATTAATGTACATCATTATATTGCAGAGTTAGAAAAAACTCCATCTTATGAAGTAGAAGGTTGTACATTAAAATCTATCTTTGGTATTTATGTGATGCCAGTCACCATAGCTGCAATGTGCCAATTAAAATCCTGCTGATGCAAGACAGACACCAAAATCATCCTCCCCATTTATTTCAGCTTCAGTTCAGTGCGAGTCACTGAAGCTAGTACAACTCGTTCTGATGAACAGTTGACTTGGTCAGGGGAAGTTGTGCCACCCAAAATAACCGGTTTTGGCAAACTACACTTCCCTGTCCCCACAGGGAAGGTACAAACCACTGCACAGTTAGTAAGGCCGAATGGATCCTAGGAGATATAATTGTTATGAAATTCTTTATCCAAATGAATTAACTCAAAAAGGCAACTAGCAAATCCTGGAATGGCTTTATAGCTATGGGACTGGTGGTTTGGTTTTTTTTAAATGCTAAAAGGCTGATGAACAAAAGGCATGGTAACGTGATTCAAATCAGTTAGAGTAATTTAATTTCTAGAATATCCTGCTATTGAGAAAGACAGTAAGAAACAAACACAGTAACAACTTGAGGACTCAACTTTGCTCAGAAAGACTGGAAACAGGGAGGGGAATCACATTTCAACATCTTCAGTGCCTGGAGGAGAGCAGAACTTCTGCATAATGCTCAGCGCCAGGCTGGGAACTGGATCGAGGCTGTGACTCATGCACTATAACCAACCCTCCTCCAGCCCGGGAGGGGGTGAGGCATAAGATGTAATTATAACTGCAAGCAATGATTACTTGCAAGGTCAACCAGTTTGCCAATAAAAGGAGGACTCTTTATTTACTACTAATTCTGAGATGAGAAAAAGTATGAAGTCTTATGAAAAGAATGCTTCAGAAGTCCAAATTCAGCTACAAAAAGCAGCATTATAAACATACACAAAATAAAGTAAAATACCAAGCCATAAAACGACAGAGTGCTTCTTCCAGACAGTTGGCCAATCAGAGAGTTGACAGGGCAGAACAGGCCAAGTCCTTTAATTCTGCATTGCAAATGTCTCATGAGGCACCACCACCTGCTATAAAATTCTTCCCTGAAAATGCTGTGACCCAAAGAGACGTTAAATGTTATGCCCAGAGGGTTAAGGGTTTATTTCACATATTAGTGCTTTGTTATAAACTTTTTACACCTGCCCTCTGGCTGCTGTATTTTTATTTCTGTCATTTAGAAACCACTGAGGAAAGGACTGCTCAACTTCATTTTGCAGCCACAGAATAGGTTAACACTACCCCTCAGGATTCTGTAAGCAGCATCCACAGCAGAGTGGATTTAAATTAATGACACCTTACCAGAGATAGCTCCTGCTTGTCCAGAACCAATATACTGTTAACCAACACAATTCAGTGCTGAAAGTCACTAGCCTGTGTTAATTTAGTATCACTGCTTTTTCTTAATCAGGGTCAGCTAAAATAATCATTCATAAAGCAGCAACTCTGTAGCAGCCCCACAATGCCCCAAACAGGCCTCACTGTGAGAGCTGCTATGCAGGCTATGAGTTCACAGACAACGCCTGCACCAAAGTTTTACACTCATGATTGCTGACAAAACACACAGAAGGAAAAGGGAAACAAGCACAACCAGTAAATCCTTCATGGAAGGCAGAAACTACAGTCACTGACAGTCTCCACCATCTTGCCCACAAAATATTAGAAAGTGGACCAGAACTATGCAAATTCGCTACATTAAGTCCCAGTTCTGCCAAAACACACGCACCGCATTTAACATCTCGTGCTGCTGCTGCATGGATGATTGTCTGTCATATAATAACAAACTGTCAGGAAAACCGCAGCCATTGTTTTCCATGCATCTTCCTCTCATTTAGCACTGCCCTCAACAGCTTACAAAACTATTTCTTTGCATGGGCAGGAATTCAAGTGAAGGCAACCGAGTCATCTAGTCTTCCAGAAGCCTCCAGTTTCTCTTATGCTTTCCACTTTTGAGAGAACTGCATTTCCTAACTATCCTCCTCTAAGTTTCAGTAATTGTTCTCCAAGCCATTGCTGCCACAATGTTAGGAAGGAAGATGATTTACAAATAACTATCATAAACATAGAATAGTTTTTGTGTGTCAGAGCTGATAAGAGATTGTGATCAATCATAAAAATAAATAGCCTTAGATATCTGTTGCTGGAGCGCTGCAGTCTAACTACTGCTGTATTTCTGAGACTGCAGCAACAAATCCTTCCAGAGACTGCCTGAAGAGGTTTTATTATTTGTGCCAACGGATTCTAGCTGAAATTGAAGGAAAAAATTAGCCCAGTTAAACCAAATGCAGGTAATTTGTTGTTGCCTAACTGATGACGTACTTAACATGATTTCAGCAACAAGTAAAATGTCACAGTTTAAGGTCTTCTTGCTAATCTAAGTGACTGTATCCTACTAGTAGCAAACATTAAAGCGGAGCAAAACAGGTCAAGCCATCAAAACAATTCTTTATCAATAGAGCTAATGTGTGATATTTAAAGAGGGTTGTTTTTTTTTCTAGTCCTACAAAGCTCTTGCCACTCAGTGACAAAGCCTGCATGAGTCACCCCTGCTCAGACACAGGCAGAATTGTTCATCCATAAGCAGCTTCACTTGCTGCAAAAGCAGCTGTTTGTTCATCTCTTGCCAGAAGTAAGGTTGACGTCGACCAGCTGGGCAGGATGCCCTCCCTCACTTTGGAGAAAGCAGAGAGAAGAATGCAGGGGAAAAATGTAAGAACAAGCAAATTGTTACAGCTCTTTGTTCTGGTATATACCATGCATTATCTGGACGCCAGTAACCCAGCTGCCAGTACAGGAGCACTGATGAGCAGAACAGAATGGCTTCAGGAACAAGGCTAGAATTTTATCACCAAAGCTAGACAGGAGCAAAATCTGACACAGGATGAGTGTGTTAAATCCCTCAGAGAAATGGCAATGCTTTTTTAGGCACTTCAAAAAACAGTGACCTGACTCAAAAATAAGCTCTATTTCTCATTTATTAGGAAAGTGAAGAAGGTGTCCTAAAAATGAAAATCCTAGTCTAAATTAATCCCTGTCTACTGCAGTTGTTTCCTCCCCCTCTTTATTTAGTGATGCACTATTTAGTACCTTTTGGAGTGGGGCATAGTGGGCAGAAAAACTGTTTTTGTATTTTTTCCACTCGTTATGAGGATCGTGAATTCAAATTCATGCTGGGAATAAAGATGACCAGCTAATATCAAGTTAAACCACAACGGTAAATCCATATAAAGCCAGTTCAAGCAGAGAGTAGTAGGCTCCGTGTTACCAAAATCCTACTGTTATAAGGCATTAGAACTGATATTTAAATATGTTGTAGTTGTACTACCTTTGTGTTCTGCACTAACAAACCTTGTGATTTGTTCAGGACTGACTTGGGAAAGGCTGTATGGCATAATATGGGTACTGGAGAACTGCAAGGCACTGCCTTTCATGCTGTAATATAGTTCAAACAATAACATGCAAATGAAAAGAGACACTGAGGAAGCTGCTCTTTGAAGACTTCAGCAAGTTACACTGAATGCTACTCATACTACAAATTCAGGTCTCACTTGACGCTTTCCCAGCTGCTTGCACACATTCAAGCAAATCCTTTGCGATAAACAACGAAAAAACCTGCATTATCACAATATATTTATGTTTAAAATTTAAAAAATGAAATAAAATGAACTTAAATGGAAAGAAAAAAAAACACATGAATAATTACAAGTTGTATCATTTTTATTCACATTTTAAAATCTCCTAACTTTAAAACTGTAGTTGAGGGTGAGAAGTTATCATTCATTATTTGTTTCATTTTTTACTTCGTTAACTACCTCAACTCTCAAATTCAACCTCTCACTAGTTTGATCTCCGAATGTAATTTTGCATACAGTTCCAGCTGTGAATGTTACACACATTTGGCTTGAGTTTAAATATTTCAATTAACAGAGACAACAGGAGTTTGATTAATACCAAATGGCAGATTTTGAGCAATGTTCCACATAACTTGCTAAATTTAGCAATGAAATAAATTGGTTATGTGAGGGTAGTAGGATGAGGGCTTAATACAAAGCTCATTATATATATTTGTAATCAGCTCCTCCATGTTTTTGAAGGGAAAAATTATGCCTCCTCTAGTTTCTAGGGTAAATTATGCCTTCCCTTCTACTAAAATGTTGCATTTTCCTTGCAAAAAAATTTGGAAGTTATAATGCAACGAAGAAGTCATTATCCATACTTATCTGTAAGAGGAAACACCACTAATAAGGTATGTTAAAAACAAAAGAAAGAGAGAAAGTCTGAGATCATTAAAAAGTGAGGATAGGTGCAAAATACATACTTAAGGACAACAGAACAAAAGCAACACGCAAAAACATAATAATCTACACTTACTGTACAAGCTTCATTTGTTCTACTGTAACCCATTGTTTTATTTGCTTTCCTAAGAAGTAAACGCAAAATTCTAGCCCACTTTGCGCATTCCATAACATTTACTGATAACAAGTTTCCATACCTTATTGTCCCCTTGTACTTCTCCCAGTCTCTGCTGAAGCTCTCTAATCTCTTCTGCAAGATGTTTATTTCGATCTTGAGCCTCACTCAGTAGTTGAGTAAGATTTGCCTAGAAAAGGAACAAACAGCAGTCAAAAGTTAGTGCCTATGGAGAGGTGTGTAAGTGGTGACTGGAAAGAAACCCTAGACTTACTCCTTATCTGCCCACAATCTTTACTTTTACTGTTGTTGGTACCCAGCCTTCATGCTTCATTAAAGAGATAACAAAAAAAGCCACCAGGGTTCCTTTATCTTTAATGGCAGGAAACACTCAGCATGTGTGCATCCACGCTCCCAGAACAGCACACAAACCCCAAACAAGATTAAATGAAAACATCTACATCAGTTCTGATATCTTGGCTGGTGGGAAGACCAAAATGCAGAGTACTTTGATAATATTTATAGTAAGTTGCCAAAATAATAGTCTTAAACTTGCATATAATTAGACAAAAGGCACATCTGATAAGTAATTATAATTATATTCCCTAATAGTGTTTAGAGCAGATTCCTAGCCAGTAAAGAGGATGCCAGAGTCCCCGCCCCTACATGGAGCTGTACCATGGATTTCTAGTAGCACAAAACTTCAAACATGATTTGACTTGTAGACTTCTAAAAAAACCAGAGACTAAAGCTAGAGATTAAAAAAACCCCACCCCAAAATAATCCTGGTCAAATGTTAAAATTCATAAATTCACATTATCCTAGTAAATAAGCAGGAAGAGCAGTCTGGCCTATAATTTTATAATTAAAATCCATCAGCTTGATCACTAAAATATAATGCAATCTCTTCCTTTGCTATCTCTGATATCTGAAAATAAGCAAATAGTACAGATAAATTTATTATATTGTATTTCTCCTAACAATACCTCATGAATACACAAACGCAGACCTGGCACAGGAAAAGCCTACCAGTGGCATCTCTTCTAAGAGAGTCATAATCATAGTGGCCAATGTGCAGCCTTTCAGGACACTGCCTGTGGACAGCCACGTGTCATCCATTGCCATAAATCTGAAGAGTATGAAAATAAATGGAAAAAGACTTTTCAGATCTTTAAGCGTGACGTGGTAAAGCCCCATGAGCCAATATTTCTAAGCTACTCTAACACACGCTCCCTGGGCTTGAGGGCAATGCATCAACTGACCATTCCTAGTTTTCTCTCAGTATTTTAGGTTTAGTTTTAGTTTCCCTGCTTGCTGTGCTTCTCTTTCAACTCCTCAATTTCTCCATCTTGATGTCTGTCTTTCTTTTTCAGTCCTGCTCTTTCCCCCAAGACATTCTCACTACCACTTGACATCTCATAAGATGTTTTTGTTCATTTTGTCTTTAAAACACATGCACTATTCAAAGCAGTAAGGCGTCTGATAGCCATTTCTGCAATCTTTCCCCTTGTTTACTAACAACTGCTATTTCCACAGATCCTGTTTTATATTTCAGAGAACTACTAACATGAATATAGCTACACATGCATCTGACCATTTGCAGGATTAGACTATTAAACTATGATCAACTGGAACTTTTGTACACTGCTGTACGAGGAAGCTGGCTCTGAACTTCAATTGGTCTAAAATAGCAACAGCTTCAAACTCTTAAACAGGAAAAATAACTCATGAAATTAATATATTCTACATGATGAACAACAAGCCTGATTCACTGCTACAGCTTCTGTACCTCTGGTGCTTTGAGATCATAGGTTCAGAAGAAAGTAGGGTAAGTTCCCCAGTTTTCTGGAACAGACTAAAGCAACTTTTTAAACTACTGATAAACCTGAAGATTGCAAAGAAACGATTTGGAAAAAGAGTGTAATAGAAAAAAAAAAAAAAAAAAAAAGAGCCAATAGTAGGGCCAAAATTAAGCTGGCTCTAACTTTATTTTCAAGATAGCTACCATTCAAGCAATGTAAAAAAGTTCCTCAAGTATGCTTTGGTAGAATGATTTTTTTTTTCCTACACATAAAACAAACGCGTAATTGTCATTCATGTATTGAATGAATCAAGGAGCTTCAGAACACATTCAGCCAATGGTTCTGAGAAGTACTTCTTAATGGCTGTTTAAAAGAAAGAAAACAAAACCTCATGTTTGCAGGAAATTGTATTTAAACTGAAGTATCTATGGGTACTGCTCAGATATAATTTTTTTTTTTTAAGAAGGCTGACTTTCAATAAAGGCCATCCAACCACCAGCCTGAGTTAGTTAAAAGGAACATGATTTGCACAAACCTCTACTTCTTTTGATAAAGTCCCTTTTCATGATGAATTTGAACAACTTGTAACACCGCAATAGCAGACGTAATTTCAACACCTGGGAAGAACGCAATCTCACTAATCAGCGTTTACAGCCACAGCACCAGGATTCTAGCAGTCTGCAGTCAAAACCCAGCTCCCAGTAACTGCAGGAAAGGCATTGCCATGCCTATACTAAATCTTCCTGCTCAGATTTATTTCCTTTAAAACCATTTCTCTGGGATTGCAATTCTATGCTGAATTTTATTTGTCAGTCATATAAATGACTTAACGTGACAAAAACCTTTATACTCAAGACAGGGATTTTGGAAGAAACTTTAAACAAATAATTTTAGACACCAAAATAGAACAGCCTCATATAAGCAAGCTAAGAGCATTACAATGATCTAAGTATAGGCTTGCTCCTTAATGCAAAGCCTCTATTGTACTTCTGTTAAACTAAAACAAGCAAGCTATGTCACAGAAGTGGTCTCCAGCAATTATTCATTTCCCTGGCTTAGAGGTTCCATACAATGTATAATTTAAATTGTTCCCAGTTTTAAAGGTTTAGGCAAGACCTCGTTAAAGCTCTTGGCTAAATGTGGACAGAAGGAGAAGTATTTGATTTTCAAAAGTGCTCTACTGGGCTTCAAGAGAGCCAGAAAAGAGGATACGTTGAACGACACCTGGACTTGGTACCACTTCTTTGGCATAGGTAAGAAAACATAGCATATGGTTGAAAGATGATAAAACGAACAATGCAGGGCTGGCTTCGTGAACCTGTGAGCACGTATTTTTTGAAGAAAGAGGAGAAATCTATGCGACGAGAAAGGTGATTCATTTTTCCACCTGGCAACATCTTTTCAATATTCACAGAATAAACACAGAATTCACTTAGAAATTCAAAACAAGTTACTTCAGCCGACAATAAAGCTCCTATCATTTACCTGTGCAAGCAGAACAACTCTCTGAAAATTAGCCAAATTCAGCTTCTCTAGACTCAATTTCTTCGACAGCTTCTTCTGATTCTAAGCGAAGCTTTAAAAAGGCTCCTGTGACTGCCAGAGACTTTCCTTCCTTCACTCACAAGCTATTTGGTTTATGTCCATCTGTCATGGGGAAGGGTCCATGTATGATTTCAGCACAGTCCAAACCCCCACAGACAAAAGAAACTGTCCTCACATTCCTTTTTCCTCTGACCAAGAGAGTCTACTGACAATGCTTCCACCAGAAAGCAGGATGAGAGGTGAAAAAGATTGCTGTGAGAGTGCCGAATGGGAAGTGCCTACCTTCATGACACAGAGGGAAAAAAGCACCATAAATCAGAGCAGACCAGAGGGTGAGAAGTTCTATAGCATGAGATCCTTACCCTTTTCCACTTACACTTTGTTGAAATATGCAAAATGTTTTTGGGATAGAAGTTGGAAGAGAGCCTTACTTTTAGCAACAGTTGAACATCTCAAACCACTGACGAAAATACCTATAAATATTTATTAACATAAGCCAGTCAATACTTGTCAGACAATGAAAGATCTTTGCTCACTACTGACCGATGACCCAAGAAGAAGAGGAGAAAAAAAAAAAGTAACTCCAAATAGTCAGCCCTGGCATTATGCACTACACTTGAATTTGGCTCCTTTAACAGTTTTGCAAATCTAGCCACACATACACACAGTGTTATTTTTCTTCACTCCACTTTAAAAATGATGGATAGTAACACACAGTCTTTAATATAGCTCTCAATTCTCTTGCACATAAATCTTATCTGACACTTTAAAAAAAGAATTTTAAAAAAGGACTTTCTGCCTTTAGATACTGCCTGAAAAAGTAATATGGCAAGGGGAAAGATGGAGAAACTTCCAACATACCTCTACAGTTTAAAAGTATTTTTAAATACAAACAAGCATTTCTATACTGCAGTTTACAGTCTTTTATGTTTCTTTCAGCCATACCTTCAAATAAAGAAGAACACTGAATTACAGGGCTGACAGAAAAAACGTTTGATGAAACATTAAGCACACTTGATGGGTGTGACTGATAGCAAATTTAATTGCAATTTCTCCTTCAATGCATTCATATGATTGCAATGGCCGAATTAATACAGAAAAACCTGCTTTGCTTACAAACTACCACTGTTCACTCCAAGGTAGAAGAACCAATGACCTCCCCTAACACTAGTTTGCTTATGATAAAAAAGAAAAATTACTGTATTTTTCTCTTCAAGTTGAAGTGCCATGTAGAGAAGACTTCTGAAATTATAGGTCCTGGGCATACTAAACAAAATACACTTAATACAGATCATATTTCCCCACAGAAAAACAACAGCAAAAAATCAAAGCCTTGCCAAGCAATCACTTGACATAAAACAGGAAGAAAATCCTCTCCTCTTCCTCATATATGCCACTCTGAGAACCAGGCAGGAATCCCAGCACAGAAGGACACCAGCCAAAACGTGACAAGGCTCTGCAAAACAAGACAGACTTGTTCACATTCACATTCGCATGCCTTCAAGACACCCAGCAATCGGAATTTTTATAGAGCTGATTAATAGAACCAAAGAGCCATTTCAGCAGTAGACCTATAAAATTAATACTTTTCCCCTCCTTTTTAACCAGTCTTAACCAGTGTGTTAGCTTAGCATAGTGCTGTACAGGACACTATCCAGCTGGACCTACAGCACTTGCTGAAGGCTGGCAAGTAAAATAAGGTTATCATCAGCTACAGGCTCCTTTACGAGACCAGTTTTAGCAAAACAACTTGTTAAAGTACATCACAAGCAGCAACTGAGGGTGTCAGTATGAATTTCCAGTAACATGAGAAGTTATTGGCAGAAATCCCTTCAATAAGGTA